TAAATATAAGCTCAAAAATATAATATATGTACGTAGTTAAATATTCACGTATAATTGGATGTAAGTTGAACTTTACTGGTAATGATCATATTTGATATAATCTTAGTGAAAGAATGAGTTTTCTTCTGCCTTCGGCTTTTTTTTGTCGTAAATAGGATGTTCACAATTTCTTAGGAGTTTTAAAATACACAAATTATGTTAAAATCCTTAAAAGTTATTTTAGTATCATAAAATTATAGAATTGCCTTGTATCAAAGTAACAATATTAATTTAATTTTTTTTGATCTATCCGAAAAAAAATGTTGACTACATATATATGTATATATATATTAACGGAACATAAATAAAAGAAATGAAGACAAAATGATACATTGAATAAAAAAAAAAATAAAAATATCTACTATGAAGTGGATTTGAACCCTTAAGTGCAAAACAATCTACAAAGGGGCAGAAGCCTTAGCCATCTTATAGCTATCCGAAGGACGGGACGTATCTCTTTCGAAGTCACATATGTTCGTGGATATCCTCCGGAGCTTGTCCTACAGTTTACAGAAGTTAGCATGTGTGAAATTAATAAATTAGTGGTTAATTTTTTGAAAACGTTAATGGATTTGGGAATTCGAAGAGTACGGGAGAGTTGAAACATAATGTATTGAAATCAAAATTCTGTGCATATAATTATGAGCATTTAGTTTCACGATTTAATCGAATGTAATATTGATAGATAACATTCAAGCAAGAGCGAGAGAGCAAGAGTAAGTTAAATATTAATAGCATATACTCGGTTGCAGTCAAAAGAGAAAAACTCGTGTCGTCGCTTGATTTGGCTGTGCGTTCAGATATATAGGGGTAAGTGTACCTATCTCCGTGCTCTGCCCTATTACCGTGGATTTTGAAAAACTGATGATTACTTGCTCAAAATAAGAAATGTTTCATATAAAATAATTTTTCAATTTTAATAATCTAAAATGACGTTAATGTAGATGCAATTCAAACAGAAATATTTGTGTATATTTTGAGTAAATAATTATTTTCCACGGTATTTGGTACAACGCGCTCATTAACTGATTGTGTACGTATTTCCGCGGTGAGCGTACGTAAACATAACCCTATACATCCGCGGTAATACGTACACGGTAATAGGTACACAACCACGGTAATACCAGCATACCGTTTTTATTCGTTTTAAAAATATTCTACTGCAGTTTTAGCTTCATAAAATTTTTTT